CGCATTTTTATGCTCGATAAATTGATGGCCATTTTACGAGAAATTGTAATTTTCACATATGCACGTACGAAACGAGGACATCATCGATGTGTCACCAAAGTCAGAGAAAGAAGTGAAATTGGAGCGATTCGAAATTTTTCGTTATGCTACTAAATAAAAAGAATTCCACTGTGTTTTATCAATATCGACGTGATTAAAAAATAACGCGTGATTATAAATATATAAATATATAACCATTTTTTTATTTGATATGATTTAAATTGTCAAACAAATGTGAATAAAATTTTCTTCTATATAATAAAAAAAAACAATTAAAAAACATATCGAGTATGCACATCACGTCAATTAAATATGTGTACGTTAAAATTAAGATATAATAAAAAATATATTCATAGAAACGTTATTAATTAATAATTAATATAAAAAAAGCCTCTTTGAGTGTATTTTAAGAAGTGTATAACAAAATAAAAGAAATTTATATATAAAATAAAAAATAAAAATGTATAAAATAAAATTAATTTTAAAATAATTGATTGCTCTGTAATTATCCTTGTATATAAAATTGCTATAATAAGTAACGCTTTTAAAAAATCAATTGATTTTAAGAAATTCATTACTTTACAACTAAAAACATTAATGCAAAGAGCAAAAGATTATTTTACGAGCCGCGGCGATGACAAGGCAATACATAAAAAAATATTCTAGAACAAGCTGTTAAGCTTTATGAGTGCCGTGTTTTCCCTTAAGTGTAAAGCATAAAAAGAATCGTTTAAGTTTTAGAAATATACGAAGACATTTCCCGCAAAGAATCCTATAATAATTTTACAGTTTATAAATTTTTTCGATTTATCGTATCAAGTATCAAAGTAAACAAGAATTGCTACAGTTTAATCATTATACAGCTTTCTATAAAAAAAATTCTCGCAATCAATTCGCCCAGTCGTCTAGAAAATAACGCGCCGAAAGTATATTATTACATACAGACAGTATTAAAAAGTTAAAGTGTAAATTGTAAGGGGCGCTGATCATAACATTTTAACGTTTGTAGTATAATAATGTCGGCCCCTTGTAAAAAAACCATCAAGAAACTGAGTTTCGTTGGCTATATGATGATATTATATGACGAATAAATATTTCATACTTGTCCTAAAATCTTTAATCAAGTCGCTATTACTAATACTAATCAAACACAAAAGTTGTTAAAAAAAAGATAAATAAATTATTTATGAGTAAATTATTATTATTTTTTCAATCTACAAATATGTTATATAAATTGTTAATCAAGTAGATCAATGTATTAAATCTTATACAATAATAGAAACAGAAGTTATTTTTGTTTCATGTTAATTAAGATGATAAGATAAATAAATAAAATAAAAATAAAATAAAATAAGTTAAACAAATATTGACTCCAGATACGTCAAAAAATATGATGATTGATGGTTAGACGAAGAAAGATGAATGTTATAAGAAAATCATACTTCTTAATAATGAGATTTCATGCGACCTCTACTTAATGCGATTGATCGTATAAAGAAATATAAAGAAGTGATCGGAAGGTTAATTGAACGCTCGTTATTCGATGCTCCGGTAACACGGCGAATAAATACAAGTCGAAGCCTCTGAGTTGAGCGAGGTGACAGGATAAAGAATGAAAGATACGACAGCTGGCGATGTACGAGATCCTTGCCTGACCTAACCCAACCTGATCAAAAAATATTCTATAGGGTTCGACGTCTTTTCACGCAAGAGACCAAAGTGTGCAGAACGTGGCCGCCACAGAGGAAAAAGGTACTCCTTCGAGGTGCAGCTGCCATTGGTGGCCACACTGTGAAAGCGTAACAGTTGTCCAAAAGACGTGCCCTGCTCTACCCTGCTCTAATTGGCCATTGTCGGTCGTCTTGCGCAGCGATGTCGCATTCACACCGAGGGCACCCGATTGTGTACATCCACCGGGAGCTAGACACGCAAATCCTGCAGCAGCCGAGGTCAGGTCGAAGGAACGCGGGGAAATGCATCATTCTACCGTCTCGACATTCATTGATGATGCTAGTCGCGGCGCGATACGCGGCGGACCGTTAATCATAATTAATCGAAAATGGCGGATACACGAAGTAGTTTCAATTATCGTGACGCGTAACATGGAAAAAAGACTTCTCGCTTGATTGATGACGATTGCGTGGAGATATGTGTTTGAGCGCTTTGGGATTTCGACCACGTTGGTTGCTCCGTGCCTACCCGGCATTAATGTAACTGTGAACGTAGCTTTATAAGTCCGCGATTCTGCGACAAACGCCGACAAAGTAACAGGTGGACCTACAGCAAACTCCGGCGAAAACCGGGACTCTCTCCTTTCTGCACCGAATTTACACGCGTCTTAAACGAGAAAAATGAGATCGTACGTAAATTTTATAAGAATTGCATGGTGATCGTTATTATGAGAAAGAGATCAAATTTTTTTATTATGTCAAAGTTAATCGTATCGCTAAATACACGGACAAAATTACAGACACAACTATAATTTTATAAAATGTCAAACATACTAAAAACGTTTCGATTTTGAACAGAGAAATTTATACAAGAATATTATAATAGGAATATTATAATTTAAATTTTAAACTTTGATAAAATTATAATTAGAAGCTAATTTAAAGCTACGAAATTAAAAAAGCATTAAATTATCTACACTCAATTTCATATATATACATAATTTTAAAAAATTATAACTTATATATAAATTATATAAGCTAAATTTCACATATATTCCAAATACTATAATTGTAAGTTAGATTCCACAAATAAAATCGATATGTATCTATATTTTATTACATTTAATGAGTATGGAAATAGCATTAAAAATATTTCAAGTGATTCTTCACTGATCTATGATTACGACACATTTATATTCTGTCAATGTATATTATCAGTCGATTATTTAAGCCAGATAATGTCAAAACCAAAACAATTTAAATAAATTTCGAACAAAAAAAATTTAGTTAGAAATAAAGAAATTTATATAAGAAAAAAATTATAATTTTATCAAATTATAAATAGACGCTTTATGGAATAATACATAAATGCATATACGCTTTATGGAATAATACATAAGAAGAATGCAAGAAAATATTTTGCAATTATAATCAAAATTATATCTATTATATAAAAGAGCTAAATATGATAAAAATTGTTCTATTAAAGAAAGTTGATCGGTTTCTTATTAAAAATTCGATCTATCAAAATATGAATTGAAATGTCTAAATTTGAAAGTTAATTAAAATTATAAGTTAATTCTCTTCATTTAGATTAAATTCCAATTTATCACAGATAATCTCGGATCCGATAATTTTATCAGTGTATCTTTTATATATTAACATTTAATATATTTAGGAATCTTGGAGAAAATAATCTTTCGAAGAATATTTTGATTACCATGAGCAATTCTAGAAATTTCACATTTTAAATTGAATTTTAAATATTTTTATTTAATTTTAAAATATATTTATAAAATGTTTAAGATATTTTTTCAAATTCCACAGATTTATCTTTAGACAAGGAATATTTATTGACAAGGCTTTAAATATTATGAAATTATAAACGTCATCAATATTAGCATAAGTTCTGCTTCTCGAAATGGCAGAATTCAAGTTATCTGCAATATCATTGCACAGGCACGTCAAATAATTAATTATACAATTACGGGAACAATAGCGCATGACATTAATTAATTCACAGACTCTACTTATATATGTCAAGATTGAAATCCAGTTCTATCCGATTATTCGTTAAGATTAAGTTAAAATTTTAATAAATTGATTATATGATAAAGCATTCTTCTCATTCAGATAATGTTAAATGAATTGGAGTGTCATGTTAAACTGTATGATTTGAGTAAAAAAATTTATTAATTAATAAAAAAAAATAAATATTATAATATATTTAACGAGACGGTTATGAACGCAAGATCGATTCAGGTGTTAATTTTTCGTTATCTTTTATTCTTTGAATTTCTTTTTTTAAATTTATTTTCGAACTAAAATTCATAATATCATAGACTCTCTCTGTTTCTCTAACACACTTGTAAACATATTTTATAAAATTTCTATGATTTCTTGGATTATTTAACATAAAGAAAATTCGATAGATTTATTTCTGACAAATTTTTCCTTTAAATAACATATCTTTGCCGCACGATGGATTCAATTTATATTGTCGTAGTAAGATGTAGTGCACATCTTGTCAAACCGATAGCGAGCTATAACTTCATTCCGTTATCAAAAGTAGGTCAGAATTTTATCGCGAGGAAGAAGGATTTCGTAAGCTCATTTTTGAGACTTTACGATCGTCGCCTTGAGACTTACTTGCACAGCGTTCGAGTGGAAAATGCTAATGTATTCACTGAATAAAATTAATGCCTTTATATGCGCCAGGAGTATCGTCGGCCGCTTGATTAATGTCCGCTTCTTCTAATTTTTAAAGGTAACGTGACAAGTGGCATTACAACCGCTGAATATCAAATAACCCTGTCGTATTGACAGAGTCGGCCACGTGGCGAATTTCACTTAAAACTTCACTAACTTTGCTAATTAACTGTTCGATGTTACAGATGCAAACAAAATCGTCTTTATTTGACATGACGCGATAAATAATACTTATCAATTGTAAATAGCGTTATACGATGCAGATTCAATATTTTCATTCTATTTCAAATATTTATTCTATCTCTGTCAATTTCATTTTAAATATCTGTTTTACAAAAAGCAAGATAAAAATTATTATTTTAAAACTATTATAATAAATGTGTTTTTAATTATATTTGCAAAATACGATGTAAAATCATCGATCTATATTAGCCTACGCAATTAATTCCATTTGATGTAAATAAAAATATAATATCAGGTATATAATAATTATCCAATAAATATCAGATATATAATAATTTGTCGTGATATTTAAATTTGTCTAAAATATCCCGTGCATCAATAATTATAATTGAATCTTACCTTATAACTTTCCGCCTGTTGTTAGGATGCAATTGACGCGCCATCTCCGGATCGATCTCCATCAGTCTTCGATGTAGTTCCTCGTTGCTTGCGTCACATAATCTCGCGTCGAATTTCAACTTCTTCGACGGTGACGTTTCATTATCATCATCATCACTATTCTGCCGTACGTTATATCGGTCGTCCGATCTGTTCTCGATAGATGCGCTCGGATCGGTCGCGCTTGAGTCGGTTTGCACTGACGGTTTTTTCGGATCGGCAATAAGGATCTCCCATAACAGCGATTCTATGTAATAGTTTGTACCGCCGACGACAACGGGCAGTTTCCTCCTGGTCAGCAGGTTGTCTATCTATATCGATGGGAAAAGGAACAGAGCGTCGAGGCAGAGTACAACCGAGAGCAGGATCGAGCGATCCGCGCGAGAGACCGTGGCTAATGATCGTATCAAGGTCTTCGCGAGGATCAGGGGCGTTCCAATTGGCTCCGTTCAAGATCTTTATTTTACGAAGTCAATTTCGCGCGAATCCCCTCCTTCCCTTCCCTCCCGAGCTGCGAACCCATCGTGATCGTGAAGCCGCGCGCGAAACATCCAATCGGCGCAATTATAATCCTTAATGTACAACAATAAGTTGATTGCGCGCGGATCGAAACAAAGAGAAGGAAAAAAATATCACTTTCGATATGTACGATTCATTAAGTATTCAGTTGTACGTTTTTCATTAACACGCTCTGAGACGGGTGATTCGCCCATTAATAATTTTATCTGCTTACGATAATCTCGATTTACGTATTCTTTTATCATTCTCATTACTTTCCGAAAGATGCTACGATTAGCACACGACGGCATCCTCGCTCATTAAATTACAGATTAATGAGAACGCATTAATGTATGCAAATTATTACGGTAATTATTATTATCGCGTTGAATTAAAGTTTTAATTATATTTCGTCAAATTTATGTATTAATAAACTTTGAATTATGTCTTAGATATCTATTAAGTCGGTAAGACATTAAATCGCTGAGACACGTGATCGTTATCTTGTAGTAAGTTAATGTTGGAATAGCTTAAACGTTGATTATCTCCGAGAAAAAAAAGAAAAAAAAAAGAAAAAAAAGGAAACGAAAATCACATGCGAAAATTACAATCGGCAAGGCCATATCCCTGAAGTCCATTACGGAGAAGTTGGTCAGCGGATCCACGACGTCCAGCATGTGATGTGGTGCCGCCTGTCTTTCCGCCATGGTTACTTTCGCAGTAACAATATCCAGACTTTTGTACACCTGCAGGCCAGGATAATTGATGCAATTAAAAGCAAAATAATGAGAGGGGTCGACGAGATAATTCGTTAGAAATAACGAAATAGCAAGTAACGATTGATAAATAACGCATGGATAGGAGATTATGACAGATCGAATAATTTCATGCGACGCTTGTGTGATTCACGGTCGGAAATAAATGCGCCAAATAATTCAGGCACGATTGTATCCAGTAAAGTCATCGGATTAAACCAGAGATCACAAATCCTACATCACGAAAGTGGAAAAGTGGAACGAGAAATTTTATGAAGCTTTCGATACATTCCTGAATTAACAAATTAACGTAATTTAAAATTTAACGTTATTTAGAATTTTTTATCGACTTTCCGATTTAGACATTTAATAATAAAAATGATATCCATATCATTCAATCATGAATTTCATCAAAGCCATTTTTTTCGTAAGCTAGTCCTATAAATGCTATTGCTCATATTTTTTGGTTTTTTTTTGACGTGTATAAAATTATTAAAATCTTTTGACGTACAACTAATGAGTATAATTTGATGTTATTTTTCAAGTCAAATGTTATAAGCATGTTCTTCTTACATAAGCTTATATCAGATTATGAATATAGGTTTAATAAGATTAAGTATTACTGTAACACAATCCGATGATTCTAATCTAATGATAAAGAATTGATATTAAATAGATATTGTCGACATTTCTTTGTTCGGAAATTTGTCAAATTTACATTTACAAGCGAGTTTATGGGTGGGCAATGATTTCCAATAAAGTAACATGTACGTGAATTCGAGGTCACGCGTGAATCAGGATGGTCTACACGCAAAGAAAAATACTATTAAGAAATATTGTTGAGAAAAAGGTTGCTATTAATATTGCGAGAGAAATATAAGTTACATCTTTAACAAAAACCGTTTAAAATAGTGATGATTATATATGACTCGGTGCGGCAGTGATATAAACAATATCTTTTTGTTTCTTTATTGGCCGTTCTTTAATTATTCAATATAGTTTTTAAAAAATTTGCCGAATCTTTTTCTACTTATAATATCAATAAATCTTAATCAATATTATTTTTCAAGCAGAATGTCTTAAATATATTACCAATCTTGATCGTTAAGAAAATTATACTCTAAAACTATACGTATAAAATTCTTTATATATATTTATTGCGAGATATATATAATTCAAAAAATAATCCCTCGTCCTCAGCAGATAATATAAATATCTTTTGCGGCGAAAGCAAATATAAACTTGTGAAAAAATAGAAATATGCATTTTCAATGTATTAATAAAATTACAAGTTATCTATGCAAATTAAATTTTAGAAAAATTTCTCTTGTTATTTTATGACAAAGAATAATAGTAAGATTAATGATATTTCAAAAACATCTTTGCAGTAACTTCATCGATCTAATTATAGATAAATCAATTTGTAGTCTCTCGCACCAATATTTCAGTATTTGGGGGAAATGTGTATCCTGTGGTACAATTATATTCTTTTTTCTTAATTCAAGAAGAACCGAATACGTGTCAAGTACGTGCTTGGGGGGATCAATAGAACCTTCAATCACTTTTCTACTTCGTTAATCGGCCGGTTATACCAAACGAAGTTCCGTCGACGCTGCGTGACTCGCTTACGCAATGGTAAAGGTATAGAAGGTATAGAAGGAAAGAGGAAGCGAAAGAATGATTGTAGGACTTGTAACACGTACTCGGAGTAAAAACCAACTCAAACACGTGCTAACACACTCTACTTCTAAGAAATCATTCGACAACGTGAGACTCCTCAATAGAGATTCCTTAATTATTGATGCGCCTAATGGCATTTTTTGCCGACTAGTCCAATTATTGATTGATAATCATATCGAGTCTCATCGTATAAAAACTCATAACTATCGATTCTATTTTATTTCATGAACAAAATAACTTGGCACGCCTATCAATATTATCTTATCCATGATACAAGTTGTTTAAAGTTTAAAGCCGCAAATGATATCAAGATAATAATATCAAGAAATTTAAATCGCTCGTAGGTTAACGAATATTATTTCCGTAAGCGCTGAAATTTACAATTTTTATGACTAATATTAACATATTGGCTGCCGTGCAAGCAATTAACTTGATGAATTATTAAATATTGTCTTTTAAAGATTTACGCTTTCGAAAGAGAAAGAAAAGTTTTCGACATCGGTGAAATGAGATCTATCGATTTCATCAAGAGATAAATCGGCATTCCTGGCAATCCGTTAGATGCGTGATGCATTCGATGAAACAGGTTCCCAAGGTTCTGATATACGTTGAAGTATCTTGAATGGAACGCTCGCAACCTTCATTAGCCTTCATTCATCAGCCACTTGTCGGATGAACTGTTTCATGTTCAGTGGTTTAAGGAATCAAATAAATATAATATCGATCGAAGCAATTGGCAAAGGACCAAATTTTATTAATGAAAGGCAATAATTATTTCGTTTCTATAATTTAATTTTGCTAATACCGTATCTGTGTCTTTCAAGAGATGTGTCATGTTCTTTTTAATGTTAATCTTTTTGATAGAATACGTGAGAGAACATACTGTTATCAAATTGAAATAAATTTTTGTGATTAATAAAATATGATTAATAAATTTCTTATATATAAATAAGAAATTTATTTATCTATAGAAAAGAGGAAAAAAAATATTTATGCATAAATTATTGTTTTATATATTCAATATGTTAAATAAAAAATAAAAAAATTTACTTCATTTTTTGTCGCACTAAAATTTTTCACATTTCACTTCAAAAATGACTGCAAATACGAATGCACAATTTAAATATTGATTAGCATCATTCGCCGCTTTTGTCGAAATTATCATTTTCAGTTTAGCATATTTGATAACAGCATCTTGCCTCACACATTCTATTAAAAAGATTAAAAAAAGAAAACATCTTAAATGACACAGACATGATATTAACAAAATTATAGAAACGAAATAATTATTGCCTTTCATTAATAAAATTAGTGGTTATCATATCAGATCTTATTTATACACATTTTGTATTTCGTTTCACATAATATTATGCTCTTGATATTATGATATGAAATTTGCTTTTTATGTACAAGTTTATTATTTCCGCCTGATTTTTAAATCTTTTTACATATCAAGATATTCTACATTTTAATTTTTTATATTTTGATTTCTGAATATAGATAAAACATTTTCGAGCAAAAGTATCAAAGGATTAAGTAGTTTTTCAGATATAAACATTAAAAATTTGTTGATTTTGTTATTATCAAATATTTTATATAAGTAGATAAATTCTTTTTTATATATTTGACCATTTCTGTGCCCTATATTTAGAACATTCTATAAAAATTTATCTGGCAATTCTAAATACGATATAATAGAAGCGAATATGCACGTCATCCCTTCTAAACGTGACTGAAGATGCTATATAATTCGACTATTATCTCGAAACTCATTTTTGTGCATTACAGAACGCAGGTTGAAATCCTTCGTAGATGTCTAGCACTTTTAAATTGGACAGGTGAATAAGATATCGGAATGAGTAAGTCGTTATGATGGATCAGCTGCTTCAGTGGCAATCATAAGAATTCTTATATAAAATGCTTCAAATTTCAAGGCATATATTAAGTCGAAGACGTACAAAATTATATCGATTAGACATATATGTACTTGAATTCCAATATTATAAGCCTAAATTAGATCTTTCTCCAGTCAGAGAGTATCTTTTTTTGCTCTTTAACTCCTCTAAGAATACACGACCTCGAAAATTGACGTGGCGCGAGTTACACGAAATAAAGAACTCCCAATAAAAAAAATCAGATATTGAAACTTGCGAAGATAATCAAATGATCAGCTCCAATTTCGTACGAGTCCAATCACCGAGCGGTTATTACGTAATCAAATTCTAGTTGGAGGAATTAATCGGCAGTTTAAATAGAGCGGGCGTTGGAACTCGCTTCAAGATTCAAAGAAGAGCGAAATACCATTTATCTTTCTTGTATCTCCCTCTGTCTCTCTTTTTTTTGTTCGTCATTCCATAATCATTTCGTCAGCGAGCAAGGGACATTCCACGACATGGCGTTGGCGGAAGTCGCGGCCGCTCTCTAGACGAATCTAATTCGAGACTTCAGAAATAGATGCGAAGCGGAACCCGAAGAGCTCGGTGTCTTTGAACGTTCTTAGACTCAAGGTCACGAAGTTGAGAGAAGTCTGAAGGAGCAGAACGGAGAAGTACTACATCGTGTCGGCCAATCGGACGGATCTAACGGTGCCCAATGCGAAAAGAGGAAAGTTCACGACTGAGAATATCCCGTACCGTGATTTATCGATAACGCTCGGCAAAAGATCTCCCAACGTTCGCAGCCGCAATTATCGAAGTCACCGACAAATCGTGGGATAATTTACGCGAGATTTATCGATCGGCGTGTATTTAGGCCTTCGAGGGACTTCAAACCATGGTAGCAATGGCCTCCATGGCTTTCTGAGGCGAAATTGAAATTACAAAAAGGACGAGAAATAGTGAAGTGCGTTACAATTAATAGTTAAAAATATATACAATATTTGTACGATATATCATTTCTGAAAATATTTGTTTGTCGAAAGAAACTAAAGTCTATAAAATTTTAATGTTATAGATTGAAAGTCACAAGAACAAAAAATGAATTAGGGAAGAGAAGAGTGATTTTTTGATGTTGAATACTAATACTATGTTGAATATTTAATTAAGTATTAAATTAGGTATTAAGGTCACATAGCAGCACGTTATCGTCGTCGCGACATTAGAATCACTTAGGCGATTCTGTCCAAAATCGGCGAGCAAACGTTGCAGGATGTTCGACTGAAGGACACTGACTTCAAATTCAGTGACTTTAGTTAAAGCTAATAGAAGCTTCAATTTCGCCTCACGTAATTCGTAAATTATCATATCTCTTTTTAATATTCATCGAGGATTCAGATCTAAAATAACTCTTCAAAGAACTATCGCAATTTAATA